ACCACCAGCACCAGCACGAGCACCAGCACCACCACCAAGTCTTGGGTTTAGGGGAAGTGTGTAGGGTTTTCGTTTTGAGGGAAGTGTGTAGGAGGTTTTGGGTTCAGGGGATATACACTACGCTTTGTGGGCTTACATCGGATCCGGTGAAAAATTGTGGCCTGGGCTGCATGCAGCTACATTGAAGCTTCGGCAAGGGGCAGGGGTTTTCGCCCCTCTATTGTACGTGTATTCTGTGAGTTCTTATAGTTCACCTAAGCTCCTAAACCCACAGCAAGCTTTCCCTCAACCACTCCAACCCCCCTATTGCTTTCCCTAAACCCTAAACCTCCTACTACTTCCCTGCATGAAAACCCAAGCCTCCTATGACTTCTCCATAACCCAATACCTCCTTGTACTTCCCCAAATTTAAAAGCTCCTGCCACTCCCCTACAATCATACTATAGCTGCTTCACCTAAACCGAAAACCTCTTACTTGTAATATAATTATGACAACAAATACTGACCTTGAGGCCAGCTTAATGCAATAAGCCAGATCGCCAGATCGAAGCTTCAAGCCCCAAGCCTCCAAGAAGAATAGCTTGATCCGACAGCTGCTTCCTGTGCACAGGTGCCATGAGTCACTACCAGCTAGCTTAAGTAAGGGATCAGGGTTTGGGATATATTGGTTGGCCCACCCCAAAGCCTTGCCCGAGCCCCAAACCCAACACCCAGTCCCACCCTCCCTCCCACCCTCCAACCCCGCCACAGCCCAGCCTGCAGACCCAGCCCAAAACCCAGCCCAAAACCCAGCCCAGCTCAAAACTCAGCCCAGCCCAAAACCCAGCCCAAGGCCCAGCACCCAAGACCCAGCCCAAGGCCCAGGCCAAGGCCCACAACCCCAACGCAACCCAGAGCCGCAACCCCGACCAACCGCAACCCTCACGGGAGCCAGGATCCAGCCAGGCAGAGCCCGGATCCACCCGGGAGTGTTTTTATCATTTTTAAAGGGCCGGGTGGTGATTTTAGCAAAATTGCTCGAACAGATTTACCCGCAATCCGTGCGCAAATTTCCGCAACCCGTGCGCAAATTCCCGCAACCGTGCGCAAACTCAAAAACCTCTCGAGGGGCACCCCACCAAACAGCTTTTGCACTGGTTAAGATAGCTAAGTTGGACTCATGGGGCACAGGTTGCAGCTAATTCGGCTGATAGTGTACAGCTTCAGGTCTTTGAACCTTTAGTTCTGGCTGTCGACCAGCAAGCATGCAGGCAACGGCCGAAGTGGCAAAGGGAGCTCCAGTTTCAGAGATAGGGGGAACGAGGGAGAGGGAGAAGTGGCTTGTGCATGTGAGTGGTAGAGCTTACAACTATAAAGGTCGATCAAGGACTCAAGGACCAGGGGATGCAGGCTAAAACATCTGCCCCTGTGCGACAGTGGTCCTGTGCAACGCTAGCACAGGGTGCCTCTTTGCTTCCTACGGCAATGGCTAGTGGTGGTGATCAGGAAGTGCAAGCCATGATCAAAGTGCTTGTGCTATCAAGTAATATGATCTGCTTGTTCAATTAGCTAATTTAACAATCCTACTAGTGAACCCCTAATCCAAAACAAGCCAGCCCTAAACCCCACACCCATCCAAGCCGGCCCTTCAATCCTAAACCCATCCCAGGCAGCCAAGGAGAGGATTGAGGCACTCCACAAGAGCCTCGCCCAGAAGAAAGCCACAGCTCCGAGTGTTTGCTCCAAGCCTGCAGGTCGGCCACGGGTCCAGGGATTTATTGAGAGAGTCTTGATTGGGCTTCGGGTTTATGGGTTTATGGGTTTGTGGGTTTAGGGCTTTAGGGGCTTCCTAGGGGTTTAGGGGTCTAGGTGCTTGTATGTGTGTATGTGTGCACATATTATATACATATATATATATATACATTTAAATTATATATATATGTGATATATGTATCTATATAGCTAGGATATGTGTATCTGTCTCTGTGTGTGTGTGTGTCTCCGTGTGTGCTTGTCTACCTGCATACATCTGCACGTGTGCATGTCTACATATCAGTATGCATGTCTATATGCATGCATACACATACATATATATATATACACCTGCAAGTGTATATATCTATATATGTTTATTCAGTTGATATATAGCTATAATATATATATATCCACTGAATATATCTTTTGCATCTCGTGCTTGAGATGTAGGTAGGAAGGCTTAAGGCTTGTATGGTTATGTGTGTATACCTTAAGGATGTACACCTGCAGTGTATGAATGTCTAGTCCAGATAGTATAACATGCATGCACATCTAGGCTGTGTATACCTGTGAAGACATGAACATGAACTACTTGTTGTGTGGAGGTTCTGCTTTGAACATACACTATGTATATATATATGTATATATATATATACATACATATACATATATATATATATATACATAGTGCATGTCTTTATATGACTATATATACATGATCAATAGTGCCAATGAAGAGGGGATTGTTTGAGCCTGTTGCTCTATATAAGCAGAAGCTTAAGGTGTATGTGCATGTAACTACTTGGTACATATGCACGCAGGCATGCATGTACAGATATGTGCATGCTGTATGGAGACACAAACCCGGCATGACTCTAAGTCTATGTGCTGCTTTCTTTTGCTAGCTTTATCATCATGAATTGGCTTGGCCTTGCATCCCACCAATACATTAAGTGGGTGATTTTTCCGAGAGGGTTGTGCTACCATGAAAGTTATATGCTTTCAATCCAGTATGCATACATCGATGCATGGTTGTCATGGTGAGGTCATTCCTTTGAAAGGCAGAGCTCTACCTTTCATTTGGCCGGAAATCAGAACGTGGCTTTGGCTTCCGGGACACTGCAGAGGCAGCTGACGGAACTTTCCCTTGGCAGCTATGATAGTGCTATCGAGGATGCCCAGAACCCCAATCCAACCATGGAAGAGCTGCTGGCGGCAAAGGCCTTGATGCCACCACCGAAGACGAGCCCGAAGCGGGCTTTGGTAGCAGCCAAGACCCCAAGCCCTAAGAAGGCTTGCTTGGAGAAGCCGGTGCCGGAGGAGAACCAGGGTGCAACTGGGGTGCCAAGCCCTTCCGGTTCCGAGCCTTTGCAGGAAGGCCTGAGCCCTGGCCCGAGTCTGAGTGACAGACCAGCCCCGCCGGCGCAGAAGGCTAAGCGTGGCAAAAGCCCGACGTATTGGAGGCCAGATTTGCAGACTCATGAGCTGTATAGGTTTCGTTCCTGCATTCGATCATCCCATGCATGCTTGTTGGTGCAGGCTCCGCCGGTACTTTGAACCAAAGGCATGTGGAGCCCTCAAATGCTCGGAGCAAGCCCTATCTCTCTACAAGACAGAGAATGGCCGCATCTTTGCTGCTCTAGCTTGAGAGGGTATATGTTTGAGCAATTGCCGTGTACGGCTATCAAATCCACCCAATTGCAAGGTGAGCAGCTGAGAGAGATGTTGAAAAAACATGGCTCCTTCGGTGCATTGGAAGTCCAGCTCACCAAGACGCACAAGAAGAAGAGGAAGCTTGAGAAGGCAGGTGGCTGGCACACCAAGATGTACCTGCTGAACGTCGGCCATTGGACAAAGCCTCTTAACTTTTCACAGTATCATCTGTGAGGCTTGACCTCTTCCTCACTAGCATGGCAAGTGTACACTTACAAGGACGATGGTGGAGACAGCGTGGAAGTGGGCTGCCAAGACGGGCAATCTCAGGAAAAACGAAATCCACGGCGAAGAAGAGGCACGACTGTGCCTGTCGGACACCTTCGCCCTTCTTGACGAAGAGGGGCAAGAGATTACCATCAGTGGTCTCATGGAGGTTGATGTCTCTTGCATGCATGCAAGGGAGATGTGTTGGTTTGATCATAAACACAATACATAATCTATAGGCCGGGTTTATTGATCATGGCTGAGTCACAATATTCTCCCTCCCTCTCTCTATCCTTCTCTCTTGATATATATATATATACACATATATATATATATATAGATATAGATATACGACATCTATCTATCTATATTCTATCTATCTATCTAGCTATCCATCTAAATATATATATATATACACGTTATACATATATAGATTTGGTACTAGATCTACACGTATTATTGAAACTAGACTCTGGTGGGGAAATAAGGGGTGGGAACCCAGGCTTGGGTGTCAAACTCAACTTTGGATAATTCTTGTGGGGCTTCAGGGCTTAAGTGTGCTGGGATCATGAGGCCTGTAACCTCGCAGCAAGCTTTATGGTAAGATGGTATGGTATCCAGGACCAGCAATAGTCTATAGAAGTCTAGAACCCAATCCTTTCCTAAAGTTACCTCTGTAACATGGGAGGCAGCTACGCGCAAACAGTGTGGAAATTGCAATGACTCCTTGTAAGATCTACATCTTTCAAAGCTGTAGGCTTAAACAAACCTTAACTAAAACCCCTAGTGACCCAATTATTCAAAGTCAGCCCCAATTCCAAACCCTGCTAATCTGTACCTGGCCCCCAATCCCAAAACCTCCTAATCATTACCTGACTCCCAGGATGACAACAGTGGCTTCCTCCTAGGCAACGACATGCCAAGCATGGATTCCTCGATGGAAGACATCATCGCCGGGAAAGCCGGTGCCGCCAGCTCCTCCACAGACAAGCCACCGGAGTCTTTCAGCTCATCTGCTAGCTTCAAGAGCCCTGCCTACTTAAGAGGCCTACATGGAGTGAATGTTTCAGGTAGCTTGCTGATCTATCGGCCAAATTCACTTTGACTGTTACACTAGCTGAGGATCACGTTCCCCTCGCTGCAATCCAACAGCAGCCCCTTGCAAATTCTCCCGGGCTATATCGATGTGTTGGGACGGAAAGTGGACAACTGTACCGATGTTCTGGACTGATCTCTGCTAATGCATTATTCTCGAGGTGACATAGAATTAAGCATTGAAGGTTCAGGCCTCCTATCAGTGTGCAGAAGTTCTTTGGTAGATACCCCAAACCCTAAATCCATAATCTCAGTAAATACACTCAGCTGAATGTATTTGCTGAGGTTATGGATTGGCCCTAAACCCTAAACCCTAAACCTAAACCCGAAACCCTAAACCCTAAACCCTAAACCCATCTTAGCTGATGCAGGAGAAATTGCAGCAGCTGGGAGATTCAGCGGGAGCACGTGCCGCTGGGTCTCTTGCACATACATAGATGTGTGCAGTACAAATCTATAGCTGCTGCTGATGATGCTGCTGCTACCGATACCATGCAGTATCGTGCACCCTCCTTAGCATGCTTATGACTAGCAGTAGTGCCTCTACTAGAACAAGCATGTGCACTGTATTGAGCTGCTGCAACAACACTAGCTACCACTACTCCTGCTGATGCTGCTGCTACTATTACTACTACTATTACTACTACTCCTGCTGATGCTGCTGCTACTATTAGCTACTACTACTACTACTACTACTACTACTAGTAGTACTACTACTACGACTACGCCTACGACTACGCCTACGGCTACGACTACGACTACTAGCTGCTACTACTACTACTACTA